CAAGAGAAATGGGCAGATGGAGCGCCAAGATTTTCAGCCTCCCTCCTTCCCCCACAAGTTTGGCTGCAGCTCTCCTTCAGGCAGAAAGCTGGGAATTATTTTCCTAATGGAAAGACAAAAGAGCATTATCCATTGAAAAATCATTCAGAGAAGAAATTTCTCAACCATTGTCACAATTAGACACCACTCTCTACAGAAAACCCACCGACTCATACAGTTACCTACATGCATCCAGCTCCCATCCAGAACACACCACACGATCCATCGTCTATAGCCAAGCCCTTCGATACAACCGCATCTGCTCTAACCCCACTGACAGAGACCAGAAGCTTCAGGATCTCTACCAAGCATTTATAAATCTCAACTACCCACCCAGAGAAACAAAAAAGCAAATTGAAAGAGCCAGACGAATACCTAGAAACCATCTACTTCAAGACAGACCCAAGAAAACCAACAATAGAACACCACTTGTCATCACCTACAACCCCCAACTTAAACCTGTCCAACACATTATCAATAAACTACAGCCTATATTGGAACAGGATACCATACTCAAAGAGCCTCTGGGAGACAGACCCATAGTCTCCTACAGACAACCACCTAACCTCAAGATCATTCTTACCAACCACCACAGGACATACCACACTAATACCAACCCTGGTACCTTCCCTTGCAACAAACCCCGTTGCCAGCTTTGTCCACATATTCATTCTGCTGATACCATTATTGGACCTAACCAAGTGAGTTATAAGATCAAGAACACATATTCCTGCGCATCCAGAAATATAATCTACGCTATCATGTGCCGAAAGTGTCCGTCTGCTATGTACATTGGACAAACATCTCAGACACTTCGCCAAAGGATTAATGCCCACAAAACAGATATCAGACAAGATCACAAAGAGAAAACAGTTTCTTGCCACTTTAACCAGAAAGGACACTCTCTAAATGACTTAGCCACCTGCATTCTGCTACAAAGACCTTTTACATCTGCACTTGAAAGGGAATCCTCTGAACTGTCATTCATGTTAAAATTCGACACTTACCAACAAGGACTTAACAAGTCTTTGAACTTTCTCACCCATTACCAAGACAGTTTCCCCAATTATCACCTGTAATACCATTAACTCACAAACATCCCACTCTCCCTACCTTTAATATCAGCAATTCACAGACACTTACCTTCCTTCCTCCCCCTTCCCACCCCCCCGCATCCCCCTTCTGTTCTGCAATGTGATTTGTCCTTTTCATATTTGTTCATTTTTTTAAATTGTATCCTTTGGTATATATGGTTGTGACTACTTTCTTCCACTATTTGATCTGAGGAAGTGGGTCTGGCCCACGAAAGCTCATCATCTAATAAACCATCTTGTTAGTCTTTAAAGTGCTACATTGTCCTGCATTATTGTCACAAGAGGGCGCTGCTGCTGCTCAGGTGATTAAGCCGAGCAAACAGAGCTCCTGACCCTGTATTATAACTGTCTCACATAACAAGAGATCCACAGTAGACAGATTGTACCCTTGACAAGTTTATTGCAAGCAATTCAGGAGGAAATTTTAAAAGCATTATATGTATATGTATATTTAGTACTTAATTAAAACAAACAGTGAAAGACTTTAGAAGGCATTGCAAGCATAAAAAGGAATTAAAAGCAATAATTAAATGGAATACTTAACAATTTAAATCTAATTCTTAACCCAATTTAGCAGCCTAATTCTTAATCCAGTTTAACACACACACACTCGCACTTTCACACACATACATCCTCTGGGGCTGGCCAGACCCCAGGTAATGTTGGTTGATTTGGTTGAGACGGAAGTCCGATGTGCATATCACCCTAATATACTGAATTGATGTACTCCAACTCATGGGGGAAAATGGTGTGGTATATATCCCCTGACAGGGGCCAGGCCAGTGAGATGCCATCCACTGGTTGCACACAGTCCAGTAGGGTGATGTCCATTAGTGAAACCCTCTTCTTACTGGCATGTCCTCAACCGATCCAGAAATATCTGGTTTTTGCACCACTTGCCTCACCATGAGTGTGAAACAATTATCTGTCCTTGGTTAGATTCTTCCCTTGTTACTTTTTCTTATCTGGCAATGCTGGGAATGCAGCCTCAGTTACATACAGAGTTATTTTATTTCACATAGTCTTTTCTCTTAAAGTTGTAAACAAGTCCATAATCCTCTGGGTTGTGTCTACACTGGCATCCCTTCCGGAAAAGGGATGCTAATGTAGCACGTTGGAATAGGCAAATCCGCGGGGGATTTAAATATCCCCCGCGGCATTTGCATTAACATGGCTGCCGCTTTTTTCCGGCTTGGGGATAAGCCGGAGAAAAGCGCCAGTCTAGACGTGATTCTCTGGAAAATAAACCCTTGAAAGTAGGAATAAAAGATCCTGATTAGCATTTTGTCACACTTCATTTGCATAATCTATTCCAAGCCATTTTTGCAATGGACTTATGGTTTAGAACTTAGACCTAATGTGGTTATGTTCAGCCTAAACTCCCAGTGTAAACTAGGCCCATAAATATGACTAGGCAAAAAATAAGCATTTCATGGATTTCTTTATCTCCTTGCTAAGAAACTAAAGTCAGTGGTGACATTTATAATAATTTTAGAATAAAGCAGAAAAAGTTTGTGTCCTGTATCCAGATTTCATCCAGGCTACCTACTTTGGACACTGGTAGTAATTGGCAAGCTAAGTTATGTTAACACCTGTATGAGAGTCATCTTAAGTAAAGTTGACTGATGGCTAGTAGAGTATATTCCAGCGTTTCTTAAACCGTGTTCCGCTGCACACTGGTGTGCCGTGAAGCAGTCGGAGGTGTACTGTGGAGACATGGTGACCATACGTCCCTTTTTTTCCAAGATAGTCCCAGATTTAAAGACACCCAGCACTAGTGAGGCGCAGCAGCAACTCCCTACCTCTACCCAGCATGTATGCGGCTTCCTTGGTGCTTTGCGCAGGCAGCCAGGAGTGGTGCAGGCAGTGGTCCAGAGCTCCGAGCTCCCATGCAGCACGTGTCGTTGTCCAGCAAGCCCCTTCCCCGCCATGTGGCCCTTCCCTCCCATTGTGGGACTGCTTCTGCTGTGTGCTGCCAGCCTGGCCTCCTACATTCATAGGCGGCTACCACCACTGCTGGAGTGGGAGGGGCACTGATTGGAGCCTGAGAGCCGCTCCTGGGTGCTGCTGCCAGAGTCCCAGCAGAGAACACTAAGAGCCCGGCTGGAGTGCTGCAGAGCGGGGTATGTTCGGGCTCTGCTGGTGTGCTCTGTGCATGTCCCTTTCTCCCCCACCGCCCCTTTCCACTCCGCTGGGGGAGCAGCAGTGCATGGACCTGCTTGCTCTGCTGCACTCCACAAGCCAGATCTGGGAGAGTGGGGGCTTTCTTCCCTCTGTTCCCCGCTCCTAATGGGAGCCAAAGCTAGTGTGGGCACTGGAATGTGGTGCTAACATTAGCACCACAGGCGGTCCAGCTCCAGGCCCAACAAACAGTCCTGCCTTGGAAGCAGCTGGGGCCAGGGATACAGGGACTTCTGGGGCCCAACCACATACTCCAGCCCCAGAAAAACTGGAAAGCAAAAGATGGGGGAGGGTCTCAGAGAGAACTAGGGGGAAGGAGGGTGGGAGAGGAAAGGGCTTGTGCTGAGGGAAAGGGGCAGGGCAGGAGAAGAAAGGGGAAGGCACCAAGGGACAGGATGGAGGAGAGACGAATGCCAGGGGGCCAAGTGAAGACAATGAGGAAAAGGGCAGGAGGAGGGAGGTGAGGTGTCAGCGGGGGTGGGAAGGTGGAGGGGATAGGGTGATGCTGGGAGAGGAGAGGGGAAAGGCATTGGGGGCAAGAGGAAGCAAGAGGGGGGGGTGCTGAGAGAACAGTTGAAAGGAGGGGTGGGCATGCGGAAGGTGGGGGTGGAGCAAGTCGTGCAAGGGCACAGAGGGGCATGAGAGGAACTGGGGCAGAGGGTGGTGAGGGGATGGGCATCATGGAGAAAGAGGGCAAGGGGGGCAGGGGCAGTGATGGAAGGAGGAAGCACCAGGAGGGTTCAGTGGTAAGGGAAGGTGCAGGTGCCAGGGGATTCTGGGAGTGAAGCAGAAGGGCAGACACCTGCAGGGGAGAGACCAGCACCAGAGGAGAGAGGGTTCGGTGGGGGCCAGACTCATTCCCTATGGGTAGGAGGATGGTGGGATAAGTTCTTAGAGGGGGTTACTTTTACTTCCGGTCATATGTCCATCTTGACCCCAAGAGTCAGGGGCATAGTAAACAGAGGTCAGGGGGTCTAGGTAATATATCCCTAATTTTGGTACTGAAAATATGGTCTCCATATGCAGAGAGAACAGAGTTCAAATGGGTGTCCTTAAAAGGGGCAAGCTTCTTCCTTTTTTCCACCCCTCTTTTTTCATCAACAAAAATCCTTGGTGTTCCCCATAAAAAGAAATTGTTTGGTGTTCCTCAGTCTTAACCCTTATTCCTCCTACAGCGCTATTTTGGATGAAGGGAAACCGAAGCAGACTGATTAAACCTCTAAAACCCAGCTTTTGGAAAGAAGTGTCTACTATTTCATAGATTTCCCTGAATAAGCTGTGTATTGTCATTTTCTCTTAGGTTGATTGCGCTAAGTAACTCTCTCCAGCTGTGTCTAGATTGCAGGGTTTTTTCTGAAAAAAGTAGCCTTTTTTCAAAAAAACTTCACCTGCATCTAGACTACAGCCACGTTCTTTCAAAATTAAATCAAAAGAACGCGGCTTTTCTTTCGACGGCAGTACTCCTCATTTCACGAGGAAGAACGCCTTTTTTTGAAAGTGCTCTTTTGAAAAAAGGCACTATGTCATGCAAACTGTGCTTTTTCAGAAGAGATCATCCAGACTACCTGGGTGCTCTCTTTCGAAAAAGCGGCTTGCTTTTTCGAAAGTACTGGTTGCAGTCTAGATGCTCTTCTTCTAAAGTATCTTTCGAAAAAGCCTCTTTCGAAAGAGGCTTGCAGTCTAGACGTAGCCTCCCTCCCTCCTTGTTTCCTTACCTAAATTCTGCAATTTATTGTCAGGTCAGTACAATAAAATTAAAGTTATCCTTTTCAAAATGTATACTACTAGTATTATAATGATATTTTTATTCTATGCAAATATATATAATAGGGACTGCTTTGCCACGGATTATTTGGGGTGAGATGGAAGAACCCTAGACAATTACTTTCTTTTCTCACCTATTGTTTTCAGATTATTTTCAAAGGTAGGTAATTTTTCTCCAGAGAAGCATCTGGGGAAAGAATCAGGATGCATTGACTTCATTGAAGGCTTAATCATGATTGATATGGAGAAAATGGAATCAAACTACTTAGAACAAGTGGGCAGATCTTCATAACCTTCTAGTGTTCAAATTCTGGGCTGCACCTGGCTTGAAACCTTTTTAATCACCTCTGTTCCTAGATTTTGGTTATGAGACTTTCTTCAGTGTAATTAATGTTTGTGACATGTTAATGGACAAATCATTATATAAATGCTAAGTTCTAAAGCCTGAGAAGAACACATTTATTTCCTGTCTTATCTCCTGATTTTTGACATTTGTTTTCAAGGCTACTGAGGTTATCAACAAATTTGTAGTGAAATTCCATCATCTTGCAGTGGATCGTCTCTTCATAGAGAAAATCCAGTGGTTTCTAACAAATCTACAATTGAAAATCAATTCAGAGGTACAAATAAAAATGCCAGAATTTTAGTTTGGTTCCATCTCAATTTTTTATATATCTAGTTTATTCTCTCCAGAAGGGTTTTGTCTGGGCTGGCAGAGGCAAACACTCTCATGGGGCATAGGTATAAGATTTTTATTTATTATTTAAGTAAGGACTGTGTTGTCCTCTGCCATTGCCAGCCTTGAATGTTGGGATCTGGAACCCAGTCCTGCTCCAGTTGTAGTCAAGTAGGATCACATCCTGGGTTTGCAGCACTTCACTCTAATCACCTACAACAAAACAGTCCAGCCACTTGCTTGATTCAATATAAACAATGAAGAAAGTGCTGCTGTTATGAATTACTGAATTTGGCCTACATTTTGGGTACCAGTGATTCACTGTTCTTGTTCTTTGAAAATCAATACTGTGCTTTTTCATGAGGATCTGAAACCTCTGTGCTTGGTTCCTCCTGGAGAAATCTTTTGATGCTTCTATAAAGCTATGTCTACACTGCAGGCTTTTTTGCGCAAAAACTTGCAGAGCACCTACACTGCACGTGCATTCTTGTGCAGGTAAATTTACAGTGAAGTGTCAGAACAGAGGGCTTCTTGCTCAAGAGTTATTCCTCTCCCCATGAGGAATAAGCCCTCTTGCGCAAGAGTGACACACTGAACTGTGGTTTGTTAGCACCTGTGTGATTTCTTGCTTGAGGTCAGCGGTCGGAGTTTAGGTGCATTTTACCTTCATGGTTAAAAGTGAACTAGAAAACTTTTTTAATTGTAGGGAGCCCCCAATAAAGACAATATCTTTTGACTCTTAATTTTGTGCTGTCATCATTAGACCCTATGATCTTCATAAGAGTGCATGGATACAGATTTATAGTTAATTTGTTATTCCCTTGGGCTACGTCTACTCTGGCATGATTTTCCGGAAATGCTTTTAACGGAAAAGTTTTCCGTTAAAAGCTTTTTCAGAAAAGAGCATCTAGATTGGCACGGACGCTTTTCCGCAAAAACACTTTTTGCGGAAAAGCGTCCGTGCCCAATCTAGATGCGGTTTTTTTTCCCCAAAACCCCTTTTTGCGGAAAAGCGTCCGTGCCCAATCTAGATGCGGTTTTGCGCAAAAAATCCCCAATCGCCATTTTAGCCATTGGGGCTTTTTTGCGCAAAACAGTACTGTGCTGTCTACAGTGGCCCTCTTGCGCAAATGATTTGCGCAAGAGGGCTTTTGCCCAAATGGGAGCAGCACAGTATTTCCGCAAGAACACTGACGATCTTACATGAGATTGTCAGTGTTCTTGCGGAAATTCAAGCGGCCAGCGTAGACAGCTGGCAAGTTTTTTCGCAAAAGCAGATGATTTTGCAGAAAAACTTGCCAGTCTAGACACAGCCATAGGGTATTTATTCACACTGCAAACTGAGGTAAGGAGTGAACTTGCATTTGACTGTGCCCATAATGATAACATCTTTGGTTCTGAAACAGACTAGTGTTATGCAATCACACAGCATGTGAGAATGGAGCAATGGTGACATCTCCTGGCTAACATTCTTAATTGCAGCAGGTGGTGGGTGTTTTTCCTGTGGGTGTTTCAATTTTCTGTTTAATCTAATCATATTGTGCAACTCTTGAGCTGATACTCTCTTACTACAGAGATCTTCTTATGCCATTTTATAATTTACATCAGTCCGAACAGTGATGTGTTTGCAGGGAAGCATTCCCAAGAAGTGCTGCCCTGCAGCTGTTTACACAAGCAAGGGTGGAGAGTTGTGTAGGAGATGAGGATGTTTGGGTGGAGCACGTTTACCGTTTGCACTTGAGTCCTAAATGATAACTGCGTCCCTGCAGGCCTGTGTTGCTGAGTGTGTCCAGAAATTTGTTTCTGCACTAGCTAGCCTCACGGAAAACATGCTTCGGGAGTTAGATGAATGTACCATTGATGATGTACAAGTAGCAAATAAGTCAAGTCAAAGGAGCACTTACCCAGTTCTCCACTTCTTTCTTGATGCTTCCATTGAAATGTTGTTAAAAGGGGAAACAGAGTCCCTTCTGCACTATTCATTCTATAATTGACGATGCCTGTTGCTTCTATTAGCTGTATTTCATTATACTGAGGAACTTGTAATGCCAAATGCGGTCATCCATTGATTTTTTTTAAACTGTTCATTGTCAAAAGGTTTCAATTGAATTTTTATGCAATTTAAGGGTGAGTGCTATTAACTAAAAGTAAAAATTTAGAGTTTGTATTTTCATCTCAAATTCTCAAGAGCAACGTATTTGCATCTCCCTTTTTCCGTGGCTGACTCTGAAGGTGAAGTTTTGCTATGCGCCCCTTGGAAATGCAGCATAGATGGCAGGGTACAATGGAGGTTTGTTCATGCAAGATTCCAAATTGCCATGGGGGCTCGTTCAACTCTCACCTGGTCTAATTACAGCTGCGTCCCAAGGCTGCCCAAAGCAACCCAGTGTCTTACCCCTGCCACCCTTCCTCTGGGTATTGTGACTGAGCCAGAATTGGCCCGTAGGATGTTCCAGAACCTCAATGTATGTCTGCAATATCAAGGTTTGCTGACAACACTTATTTCAACACCCAAGAGTTGACAAAACAAAAATTGTCAGAGGGGTGTTCACACTTGCTTCCTTTTTTGACAGATCATGTCCACACTGGGGGCACCATTATCTATAATGTGAACAATGTACTGCCGGTATGTTTCTCACAGTGCAGTCTTGTGGGAATGCAGAGCTGTTCCCTGCATGATGGGGTTACCCTCCAAGTTCTCCCACAGCCTCCCCAGCATGAGTAAGTAGCTCTATGAGCTCTCTGTATTGAGGAATGTCAAAGAAGCACAGCAGTCTGTCCTCTCCCCCTGCAGCAGCACTCTGCCTGCCACTGTGTTTCTGGTGCAGGGCAGAACAGGAACAGTCTAATGATTTGTTATTTGTTTATTCCCCAAATGGAGCTGCTCATTCCCGGAGCTTTCAATGTGGAGGGATGCATGCCTGAAGGACAGCAGAGGTCAAAACACTGAGCAGAGCCATCGTGGCAGGTATTGTGGGATACAGGCAGAAGCTAGTTTGCAGAGTCTACAATGGCTCTTTATCCACAATAAAAGGAGGGGGGCAGGAAAAGTCTCTCATAGGGGTGGAAGTTTTGTCACCGAAACAATGTTTTTCCAGACAAAAGTTGCATTTCAATGTGAATGCAGTCAAAAGGCAGTTTCAGTGACGAAACTTGGTAGTGTAGACATACCCTTAGTCTACTATTGCCAGCTTTCTCCTCACACAAAACTGAACACCCCTGCTTAGCGATTCCTTTTGTGCCCCACCCATGCCATACCCCTTCTCTGAGGTCTCACCCTCCCCCCGCTTAGTCAGTCTCCGCTCTATGCTGCTCACTCTCCACACCCTCAGTCATTTTCACTGGGCTCAGTTGCAGGAGGGGATGAAGGCTCCAGCTGGGAGTGCAGGGTCGAGGGTGGGGTCAGAAATGAAGGGTTCTTCTTCGGGTAGTGTCCCCGTGGGTGCTTCACTGTGGGTGGCGGGCTTGTCCCAGGGCCGCAGTTCGGAGATGTGTTAGCTGTTGTTCGCCGTCCCCGTAGGTGCTCCACTGTGGGTGGCGGACTTGTCTTGGGGCCGCAGTTCGGAGATGTTTTAGCTGTTGTTTGCCAAACCATTCTGGTCACGCGGTCCGGCCCTGCCAGTTCCTTCTGACCGTCTTCAGGCACAGACAGAGAGATAGCTCCCTCTCATGATGATCCCGTCAGGACTGAGAGAGAGGAGAGTTTTGTACGTAATTAGATAGTTCATTAGTTAATTAGTTTCTTCTAGTTCTCTAGTTGTTAGTAAGTTTAAAAAAAAATAAAACATTTATTATTTCTTGTTCTTCAACCATGCCCAGGTCACCGGGCTTCAAAAAGTATCTGACATGCTGGGACTCTATGCCCGTGTCAGACAGGCACTCTTCCTGCATAAAGTGCCTTGGGGAAAGCCATATTCCCCCAAAATGTCAGCACTGTTCAAGGCTGACAGCAAGAGCACGGCGCGACCGCAAAATGTACCTCAAAATGCTCCTATTTGATAAGGCGCTCTGGCCTCAGACAGGAGCCGAAGAACAACTGCCATCCCCGCCGGCCACATCTCGTCAGCCCTCCCCCGTGGTGACAAGCTCCCGAAGAAGTCACTCCACATCTCGCTCCCTGCCAGCGATGAGGGTGAGCTCCGGGGACAAGCCGGGAATGTCTCACAAAGCGGCAGCTCGAAAGCAGCACAAAGAGTAGCTGGTGCGAAGCATATTGGCACCGAGCTCAACGGTGCACGTGGCACTGGGACCTAAGCTGGCACCAAAGCTGATCCCGGCACCGAAGCCGACCCCAGCATGGCCAACCCCGGCACCTCCGGTGCCTGACCTCCCAGCACCATCTTCGGCACTGATGATAACAGTGCACCCGGTGCCCAGTCCCTCAGCAACGAGGCCAGTACCAGGGAGTCAACGGTGCAGCACGGGACCTCTGTGCAGGCACCGACAGCTCCACCTCCAGAACGTGCACTGACATCAGCACAAACAACGCTGTCAGCACCCGCCTCCTGACCACATCTTCACACGGCGCCATCACATGTGGCACCGGCACCACTAAGACGCTCTCCAACTCCATCATATTCCCAGAGGATCTCCATACCGAGTGAAACTCCACCCACACCTCTGATCCAGGTGTTGCACTCCTCCACAAGCGGACGGTCACCAGTCTCCCCAGAGCTACCGTCTCCACCTTGACATCACCAGCGACCAAGACACAGTGCCTCCCCCTCATCAAGACCCCGTTACCATAGATATTATTGATCGCCATCTCCCTGCTGCTCTCACCGCAGATCCAGGTCACCAAGGCCCCCTCCTAGTCTCAAGATTCCAGATACAGGGACGACTACAGGCACTCATACCACTCTCGGTATGATGACCGGTGGCATGCACATCACGACCATTGAGACCGTTATTCCCGATCAATCCATTCTTCACCATCACCAGCTCCATCACGGCTCACTCACGGCAGGAGTAGATCCTCCACTCCGGCAGCAGCCAGACCACCGACTCCGTCCGGTGACTTACCTTCTGCGGAACAGCCCATCATTGAACTACCACAGGTCTTGGAGGTAGAGGCACCACAGCAAACCTCTCCCACAGACGTGGCTTCCTCTTCTCCGGACAATGCCATCCTCACCGGAGATACGTCACCCTGCGATGACCTTCATTGAACTACCACAGGTCTTGGAGGTAGAGGCACCACAGCAAACCTCTCCCACAGACGTGGCTTCCTCTTCTCCGGACAATGCCATCCTCACCGGAGATACGTCACCCTCCGATGACCTCAAGGAGTTCCAAGACCTTTTTCGCTGGGTAGCGGACACAGAGAACGTGAAGCTCACAGAAGTCCAACAGAAACAACGCTATCTGTAGCACAATCTACATCCTTCTCATGCTTCCAAAGTCACACTGCCTCTGGATGAGGCTATATTTGAGATTGCCAGCACTATCTGGCAGATGCCTGCCATGGCCCCAATAATGAATAAAAAGGCCAATAAGAAATATTACGTCCCGGCCATGGGGATGGACTACCTATTCACGCATCCCCAATCGAACTCGTTGGTCGTTGACGCGGCGCAACAACTCGCAAAAGCCCCCCAGTACAAGGCAACGACTGGGGACAAAGATAACAAACACGTTGACCTGCTCGGGTGAAAAGTTTTCTCTTTGGCCACCTCCATCCTTCAAATGGCCAACTACTCCGCACTGCTGGCCAACCATACTTTGACAATTGCTCGAAATTAGTCCAGCTACTGGAACACCTGCCGGACACAAAACACCAGCTGCTCAAGGCCATTATCCAAGAGGGCTATACGGCTTCCTGCTCAGTGCTGAACATAGCCTTTGACATGGCGGATGCTGCAGCTAGAACAACAGTGATATCTGTCGTTATGCTCCATATATCAGCGGTCCCCAGGGAACTTCAGTCTAAGGTTGAGGACTTGCCCTTTGACATTCCAGGTTTGTTTTCAGAGAAAACAGACCAACTTCTCCATTCTGTCAAGGACTCACGTACCACCTTGAGAACCTTAGGCATGTATACGCCGCCATATCGGTGCAAAAAGTATACACCCTATCAGAGGCAGAGACCGCCCACCTATGCACAGCCATGACAATACAAACAGCAACGTCCTAAGCAATGTCCTCAAAGACAACGTCCACAGGCTTCCAGACCTACAAGTCAAAGTTTGACGCGAGCATTGAGGGACTGCGAACCATCCAGTTGACACCCTCCTCCAACGCCACCAAAGCATTGTTTCACCACCGCTTAAGGCCCTTCCAACATTGTTGGGCTGCAATAACAACGGACAAATGGGCCATGCAGCTCATAACAGGCTATGTAATCCCCTTCACATCCCATCTCCCTACTACTCCTCCCCATCTCTTTTCAGGGACCCAGCTCACGAGCTCCTCCTCGAGCAAGAGGTGGATCATCTCCTCAGTATCCGAGCTATAGAGAGGGTGCCCATACCCTTTTAGGGGAGAGGGTATTACTCCTGCTATTTTCTGACACAGAAAAAGTCTCGCGGCTGGGGACCCATATTGGACCTCCGCAGTCTCAACCAGTATGTGAGGAGCCAATGGTTCAAGATGGTTACTCTCACCACCATCATACTGGCGTTGCAGCAAGAAGACTGGTTTGCATCCCTCGATTTGCAAGTTCCTTACTTTCACGGCACAGTCCTCTCTGCCCACAGGCATTTTCTTCGCTTCCTGGCAGGCTCCGAACACTACCAATACAAAGTACTGCCGTTCAGTCTTTCGTCAGCACCAAGGGTGTTTTCCAAGACACTTGCTGTAGTGGCAGCCTTCCTGCGCCGCCTAGGAATCATAATCTTCCCTTATCTGGACAACTGCCTCCTCAAGGCCCGGTCCTTCAATGAGGTCTTGATAACAGTCTCCACAACAAGGCTACTTTTCGACAACCTAGCTGTGATAATCAATATCCAGAAATCATCCCTCATCCCTCAACAGACTATAGATTTTATAGGTGCTCGTATTGATTCTGTGACGGTATGCACTTACCTTCCCAATGCCAGACTTAGCATGATCCAAGATCTTGTTCAGGTCCTTACTACCAGTCCCACAGTTCCGGTGCTCACCTGCCTGCAACTGATGGGGCATATGGCAGCCACGACTTATGTCATCGTGCATGCATACCTACATTTCAGATGCCTGCAACAATAGATATCGACTGTATACCTACCTCACAAACGCGATGTGTACAGAATGGTTACCATACCAAACACAGTCAGACAATCTCTGAAGAGGTGGACAATTCCAAACAACATGTTAGCGGGTATCCTGTTCCACACACCCCAGCCTACCATCCAGGTTACGACAGATGCCTCCCTGCTTGGCTGGGGAGCCTACATGCAGTACAAACAAGCACAGGGCCATTGGTCGCCACAAGAATCACTCTGCCACATAAATCTTCTCTAGTTACGAGTGGTATACAATGCTTGCAATCACTTTCTCCCCTGGATATGCAACCAGAGGGTACAAATTCTTACAGACAATATGACAACAATCTATTATATAAACAACCAAGGCGGAGCCTGATCCTGTACTCTGTGCAGAGAAGCCATGCATCTCTGGAACTGGTGTATATGACACAACATCATAATTACCTCAGCATATCTCCCAGGGGACGACAACACCAAAGCAAACACGCTCCGCTGACATTTTGCACAGCAGCACGAATGGGAGCTACACCCCGAGGTTTTAGAGAACATATTCCAACTCTCGGGACACCCAACTACAGACCTCTTCGCCACACAGTACAACGTGAAGTGTGATCACTACTGCTCCAGACCAGGCATAGTCCGAGCATCGAAGGGCGATGCCTTCCTCCTCCACTGGGGTCGACAACAGCTGTATGCATTTCCACCAACCCCCTAAAACACAAGGTCCTAGAGAAAGCAAAAGCGGACAGAGCAACACTAATCCTAGTAGTACCATTCTGGCCATGCCAGACGTAGTTCTCCCTTACCTGCTCCACATGTCGTCTCATCCCCCATATCATCTTCCCAGTCGGCCCAATCTTCTGATGCAGGAACAGGGGAAACTACTTCATCCACAACTGGATCACCTCACCCTGTCCGCTTGGTTCCTGACACCTCCCAGCAAGAAAGATTAGATGGTTCAACAGCGGTCGACCACGTGCTCTTACATAGCAGAAAAACCTCGACCCAGAATACTTACCTTCATAAATGGAAAAGGTTCACCGAATAGTGTGCACATAAGGGCACGGACCCTCATGGAGTGCTGTTATACTCCATTCTAGAATACGTTTTACACCTCAAACATAGTGTGCTTTCCCTATCGTCCCTGAAGATCCACTTAGTGGCCATCACAGCCTTTAGACAGTCGGTCGAGGGCTATACCATTTTCTTGCATCCAATTACAAAAAGATTCCTCAAAGGCCTAAACAACCTATTCTTCTTCGAGTGATGTCCCCATGGGTGCTCCACCATAGGTGTTGG